TTTTTTTTTCTTTTTTTTTTCTTTTTTTTTCTTTTTTTTTCTTTTTTTTTGGTTTGTTTTTCCTAGTGTTTTCGTTTTTTTCCCTCTGCTTAATCCATTGGCCTCGATTTTGCTAACCTGAAGTTCCTCATTTTTCAGTGGTTGCTTTTCTGGATCAGCACTTTCTGATTGCTTGTTCTGCCTTTCTGAAGTGATTATTCATTCTTTTGAGTTGGGAGCTGTGTTCATTTCTTTTTTTTTTTTTTTTTCCTTTTAATTATTATTCTTTGGAACAATATGTGGATAATTCCAGGATAAAGTTTGTTGTTTTTCCATAAAATTCCAGAACTTCCTAAACCCATATGACTTCTGTAGCTGATTTCTGGTATCTTGTCAATTTTTCCCTTTTGCAGATTAAAACCATAGCTTTGAAGCAGTATCTATTTATCTTTCCTTTTAGACTGGTTTGTCCTGTTTAAGTTAGCATCTTCAACCCAACATTTCTTTTTATCGCTGGTTCTTTTGCATAGTTGTTTACAGTGGATCTAAATATTCCTTCCTCATGGAATTCAGTTACTAATGGATCTTTGCTTTTGTATTTTCAGTTTTTAAAAGCATTCGACTACTCTCCTTGGAGCGGGCACCTGTACAAGCTGGATGTGGGATGGCCCAAAGTTCCGGAATACTTCACTGGTCAGCCCGTGAGCGTGGCCGTGGACTCCCTTCGTGGTTTGGTCTATGTTGCACAAGTGAGTGAGAAAGCTTGGACTTCTCCCCTGGCCCTGTTATAGTGTCTCTGTTTATATTATATATATATTTATGTTTATATATAACATATATATATATATAAAAAATGTTTATATTTATAAACATAAACATATATGTTTATATATATATAAATATATATATATGTATGTATAAGTAAGAATTACTGTATCAAAATCGGAGAATACAGAAATGCAAATCTCACTACTATATATGCTTTTAAAAGTAGTTCTGGGACCTACTCAGCTCTCTAATGATTTTGAAAGAATTATATTTTGTTATCGTGGACACATAATTTGGCCTAATTGAGGTATAATAGCTCTCTGTCAGCTGAATAGCCAGAACTCTGCCTTTTCTAACCATAAGGTAAGATTGAGACAAAGTGTTTCTGGGGCAGCTGGCCAGTCCCCTTTCCCTCTTCCAGCCTTTTTTTACCATGAAATCAAAAGCATGCAGCTCTGGCAGGCAGTTACAGCAATTACAATTTTGGATAAGATGTTTCTTATAACATGGATAAGATATTTCTGTAGCAAGTGGTGGGTTTTGCCTATAAAGATAACCTATAATATCTAGGATGTCATGCAGATAACAAGTGCAGTTGTAGTCTTTGTGTGTTACACTCGGTGTGTTTTCCAGCTAGGAAATAAAAGCAGTATTTGAGGTGAAGAACCAAGAGAGCTTCCGGAGCTTAACGGCTCTGAAAGTTGGACTACTTGTGATTCCTCTCCCCTTCCTTTTTGAGATGGAAAAAACTTGAGATCCAGCAGTATATAACAATTTCAGGGCTCTTTCATGAGTGATAAAACATTGCAAAAGCCTTTCAAAAAAGACCTTTCAAAAAAGACCTTTCAAAAGTATAATTCTTTGGTTAATATATTTTAATAGACTTTTTTTTCCCTTGCCTTTTCAGAGGGGAGATAACATACCCAAGGTCCTTGTGTTCTCAGAAGAAGGCTATTTTCTTTACTCGTGGAATGATACAGTTGAAATTCCTCATGGTATCTTTGTATTAAGCAACACAACAGATAGCTCAGTATGGATTACAGATGTTGGAACAGGTATGTATGGTGGAGATGTGACAAGTGTTAGGCAGGGGAGAAAATGCTAGTGCTGCAGGTACTAGTTTAAACATCTACTTTATTTAAATAGGGCACTCGAGCAGTGCTGAGCCACATTTGTGCTCCTCTTACCCTGCACAAGCTGCTCAGGTTCTGCACAAAGTAATTCGAAGGCACATGAGTTACGCTGTGTGCTTATAGCCTCTCAACTTAGCAAGCATGAATTTAGTTGTTTGTCTGGGAGAAGGGATGATTTAAAAAAAAAGTGTTTTTTTTTTGACTAGACCTTTTGCTGTAGGAATTTTTGTGTTTAATATTTGTTATATGTTATAACATTTATTATTTGGCTTTCTTAATGTTAAGAGATTCTTACCCCTGTTCCACTTATTTATTTAATTAATTCATTCAGGGAAATATGGGCATACTCTGAAAAAATACAGCCCTTCAGGTAAACTTCTGCAGATCGTGGGCACCCCGGGTAATGCTGGTTCAAGCTTGTACCCCCTGCAGTTTGATCAGCCGGCCGAGATCTTTGTGGAGGAGTCTGGGGATAGCTATGTTGTGGATGGAGACGGAGGGATCAATAACAGACTGCTCAAACTGACCGAAGGTATGGAGCAAGGGAACTTGCACAGCAGCTGACAGCTGAATTTTGACCGGTGAAACTTGGACCTTAAATAACGCAACTCTAGAAAATTGTTAACTGGCGCTGGGTGCGGTTCTCATTTAAAGTAGTTCGAAGGTGTTAGAGCCTGGTTTATTACTGGTCGCTTCAGGAGAAGTTTTCCTATGACAGGAGTCCGAGAGAATGGGTTTGTTCAGTCTTGGGAGGGCTAAGAGGAAATCATATTGATATCTTCAAGTTGATGGGAAGGTATAGAGGAGACAGAGCTACACGTGGTGAAGAGCAGTGGAAGTGGGCAGAAATTGAAGGAAGGGATGGGTTCCAGTTGGATTTTGTGGGGGGAGATTCTCCAGGAGGGTGATCAAATGCTGCAACAGCTTGAGAGAGACTGTAGAAACTCCACCCTTGGAGATGCTCAAAACTTGATATAAGCAACCTGATCCAACTTGAAGGTTGACTTGTTATCAAGGTTCATCCTGCTTTGAGTGCGGGGTTGGACCAGATAAATTCCTTTATGCTGAAATTATTTTGTGATTCTAATTGGTTTGCTCCTATCCTCCAGTGAGAAGCAGTGAGTAGATGATGGTCAGTTTTGGTTAGGGCAGGGAGTGAGAAGTCTGTGCACCTCTGTAGGTAGGGACTAGAAGAGGAGTTGCTGTTACTGCCTACTTTGTTATACAGCCAGCTAACATGTGGTTTGCAAAACAGTAAATTGTTAGAATAGTAAATTGTTAGAAGAGAAAATAGACTCAAAATTGTCACATACCGAATATAATTAAATATATAAATATATATTTATTTTATGTTAAATATGTTCATTAAATATGTTTCCTTATAAACATGACATATAAATAAGTGTGTGTGTGTGTGTGTGTGTATATATATATATATAAACTCACAATGTAGTAAATTAATGTCATAATCAACCAGGTGTCTCTCAGTGTTTTGCACAGTACCTGGTATAATAGAACCTTTGGCCATGCCCCCTGAGTGCTGGCAATTTCTACAACCATAATCCTGAACTACTACTAATAGTGCAGCTTTCACTGTAGTGTTGCTTATGCTCTCTTGGATTTGTGTACCAGGAGTATTGGGTCAAAAAATTTGGGGATTAAAAGCTTTTAGAAGTGTTTTAAGCAAATATTTTTTAAATATAATTCAAAATAACTTTGCAAAAAATTGCTAAAAAAAAGAAAGCTAAACCTACTTGTTTCCTTACCATGATTTTTGCTTTTATTTTTCATATCGTTCACTATTTAGATTATAAAGAAATGTGGCTGCGTGGACCAAAAGGGACTGGCACTGGTGAGTTCAGGATTCCTCACAGTGTAACAGTGGATTCTTTTGGACGGGTAAAGAATAAAACGATTTTTTCCTTTCTTCCTTTCCCTCCTTCTCTCTCTCTCCCTCCCTCTTTTATGTGGCTCTCAATTTTCAGTGCAATAACAGCTGAAGTTTCATACAAAATATCCTACTGAGGAAGCTGGTTTCAGCTTAAGAAGTTGATTCTGATCAGTTACACTGCCTTAATGCCTTAGCGCCTTAATCTGCAAACAGATCTGATTTTCAGTGGCTTGCTTAGCTAAAAGATATATTACTGACTTGAGCTAGTTCTGTTGGTGCTGACAGCTGTTTCTGACAGAACTCAGGCAGGAAGGAGCATAGGGAAAGGGCAACTGTGGGTAGAAGGGTAACAGTGAGTACATATATCCACAGACATCAGTTATGGCTTAAGATCTTACTGCCTAGGTTAGAAACTGTTGTCAGTGCCAAAGGAGTCTGCAAGAATGCTGTAGTAGTGTGGAAAGTAGAGTGAGGAATAGTGAGCCAGACCTGTTCATACTTTCCTCAGGATATCGCCTGAAAGAAAATAAAGTTTATTTATGGGACTCAGAGGCTGTCAACAGCCGAAGTTTCAATGATAGTAGTAAATGAGATGCTTTCATTGGAACTGTGCAGTGATATTGCCTAGCTTGCTTGTGAACATATTTAGCATGAGACAGAAAGAGATAAGTCCCACCAAGCTAATTAAATAAAACATGCTGAAAATGCCCTTGTTTTTTAAGTTGCAGATCTTGTAGACCTAGGTCATGAAATGAGACTACTGTGTTGAAAAACTGAAATTGCCGGTGGGTGACAAAGCAGTGCTTTTACAATTTAATATGTTTATTCTTCTCACTTTTTTTGTGCTCAACAGGTATGGGTTGCGGACCGAGACAATAAGAGAATCCAGGTTTTTGATAAGGACACAGGGGAATGGCTGGGGACTTGGAGCAGCTGTTTTGAGGAAGATGGTCCGAGCTCTGTCAGGTATTATTAAACAGTTCTTCTAGAAATACACTGTTACAGAAATGTGCACTTTTACTGGGGAGGTGTGAGGTTGCTGTATGGTGCCTGATCACTTGTCAACCAGCTTAATCTGGGCCCTGATCTCATGAAAGGGTTTTCATAGATGAATCCTGATATGACATGGGAATGCTGACAGCATATCAAAATCCATGGACTGGAAACTCTGGAACTCAGAGTATTCTGAGCAGGATTTTGTTGTCCCTCGTGTTACATCCTGAGCAAGAAGAAAGTTTATCTTAACTGAATTTTCTGTAGCGTAATCAGACTCAAATAGTAGCAACACTAAAGCAAGGCTTACAAGTAAATTATTTACTTTTCACCACAGTTAGTTTATTTTAACCCTTATCTTAAGAGTGTTTTTGTTGTTGTTGTTCTTTATAAGTTCATGACTGTATTAAACTCCGTATGGTGCCTTATGTTGTTATTCCAAAGTACGTTTCTGCCTTTCATAGATTTACTCCCGATAACAAGTACCTGATTGTAGCTCAGCTGAACACCAGCCGCTTATCCATCTTGGCAGCCCCGCACGTTGGCATTATTGGCAAGTGTGTTATAGTCGACACAATCCAGCTGGCGGATGAAACCAAGCCGCACCTCGTGGACGTAGACATGAAGAGTGGAGCAATTTATGTGGCTGAGATTGGAGCCCAGCAAGTGCAAAAATATGTGCCCTTGAATTGATGTTTCTCCACCACTCCTGTGGCACAAGCTGTTTGGCGTGTAAGACCTATGAGCGCGTTTTCTCAAGTTTTCTGTAGCTTGTGTTTTCTTAAGAAAAGCACAGAACATTGTGCTCACAGGCCTCTAGGGCTCACAAACTGCCCTCGTTCTGGAGAAGTGCTTGGTCTTGGGCTCTCACTTCATTTAGTGACACTCTATTTTCATGCTTGGATTTGGGTAATTTCTTGAATAAGTATCTCTATTTTATAAACTTTTATAAACACAGCCCTTGTTCTTTAGTGTCTAGAGTTTCGTCTTGAGACTTCTGACCCATCCTGCATGCATTGCAGAGCTAGCTGAGAGAAGTGGTCTAAGTAGTTATTTCCTGGGGTTTCCTCATTTTAATATTTCTTCACATGCTTAGGATCTTCCTGCAACATTATCCAATACTGAATAAAGTGTGGAATTATGTTGAATGAGATGCTGCTGAATATTGATGTCATTGCTGACACTTGCACTTGTTTTAGTGGTTGATGAAATCAGCACTGAAATCAAAGTTTTTAGCCCTGGCTAAAGCAGTCAAATTTGTAACAGTTTGAAATTTAATTTCAATCATGCACTTCAGACTAAATTTAAAGTATGTGCAGAGCAGCCAAATACCAATTCTTAACTATTTAATTCTTGATCAGATTTGATTTTTTATCAGTGTGAGCTTTTTGTTCCCCCGAAAACATAGTGAAATTCAAATCATTTAAATTCTTAAAGATAAACAAGTAAGAGTTTGCTAGGAACCTCTTACACAGTGTTAGTGGCCTGGAAATATATAATATTCTCCTCAACTTATTGTCTTGAGGCTCAGTATGTATCGGTTTTGGGAAAACTTAGCTGCTTAATGTTCTAGCATTAGATTTCCCCTACCCTATCAGCAACAATTCCATTAAGATCTTTGAATAAGTTTCTTCTTTTGAAGGAACTTATCCCAGTGTACTTGCAGATGACTCCAAGCTCTGTTCTGAAGAGGTACTGTCCAGCTCATTTTCAGATTTGTGCATTTGCATACATATAAATTGTTCATTTTTAAGGATTCTATGATTCTATGAAATGTAAGGTTGGAAGGAACCTCTAGAGATCATCTAGTCCAACCCCCTGTGCACTCGGGGTTTGCTCACATATGATTCAGAACTCAAAGGGCACAATTACTTTGCATGTCTCAATAAGGAAACTCGTTCAGACCCTTCCTCCTCTTCCCAGAGTGATTCTAGCTGGAATGTTGCTAGATGGTTTTAAATTTGTTTGTTTCGCAGCATAGCAAGACATGGGGATGGAAAAGTGGGATGGAGGCACGCTAGACTGAGGCAGAAATGACTCTTGTGGGGAATAAATGAGTTCCCCTCTAAGGCTGTGGACCCTCATCTCAAACTCTCGTTATTCATCAACGTACATTGAAAGCTTTTCTAAGCACTTGGGAAGATACGTGTGTTTCCACACACTTACTCTGCTGCAGGGACTGTTTCGAATGCTGATTACAGGCTAAGAGGCATTTTATTATTTTCCACTTCTCCACTTCCTTAGGGACATGTAATTACTCTGAGAAATAACCACTTCAGTGCATCTCATCAAAAGCAAATGCGCCTTAATTTGGTGAGTTTCAACATGTGATCTACAAATGTCTTGGTCAGTAGGTGGGAAAGCTGGCCAGGAAAAGCAAATTTCTGTATGTTATGGAAAGTAATTTACCTGTGGAGCTTGATGTCCTGATTTCAATGCAAGTATAGATTCTATAGATTGATATGTGAGCTATAATCACTTTGCTTTTGGCTCTACCCACAATAATAAAAGCTGATCTACCCTGTCTGCCCTTGTGCCAGTCTGAGAACAGGGGGTTCAGGGTTTTACACTAGTGAATGTGATCCATTGTTCATGTGGTGCTCAATGGGAGCTTGTAAACCTGATTTATTAGCAGAAAAGGTAGTAGTAGTTCTGCTAGAACTAACTGTCTGGCTCCAAACGGTTGTGCAATGTGTTATGTGGATTTCTTACTTAGGTCTCCACTAGCTCAGGGATCTCTACCATGGATCATGTAGCTCTTTCTTACCTACATGATGTGATTTAAAAATAAATAAATAAAATAAATATGTTCAAGCATATCTTGGTGGTATAAGGGATCCAGATACACCCACTCTCTGGGAACATGCCTCTCTGCCCAGTAAGGGACTAGTGTACTTTTGGGTGTCGACAAGTAACTTTTTTATGTCTGATGCATTTTTTTTTTTAACATTTGCAGCCCCTAGAGATGGGGACTACTCATGTGATTGCCTGACTTCACTGAAATAGACCGAAATGGTGGTGCCAAAATATCTATATTACATGTAGGCACTGAATGTCTGTGATAAGAAAGGGTATTCAGTGGTGACTAGTGTTAGAGACAGACTCCTTGTCATCTCTATGTATATGAGCAGCCTGAGAAATTGATTGATTTGTGCATTTACTTGCTAATTTTTTGAGGGTTTTCTTGTATACAAACTTGAAACTGATCTCTGGAAAATTATGTTGAAGGACGATTTGGTAAAATAAATTTAGAATTTCCTAAGGTGGAAAGTTTGGGGCTCTTTATTTCTGGTCCAATGTCAAAACATTGCATTGCAATGGATTACTTTTCTAAATATAGGAGCTGTAGCACTTTAATTTTTAGTAACAGAAATTATTAAATACTAACACAGAGTCTAAATGTTTGTGTTGTCTTTAGACATTACTATTTCTGAAATTACTATTTCTAATCAAACCAGGTTGAATCATAAGAGCTATTAATACAGTTCATCTCTATCTGTATATGTGTCCTTTTTTTTCTCAGCGATGGTAAACCATTTTTAGTAGGTATTACGGTTATTTTGATCAGCAGTTGACTAACTATATGTGTTTGCTCAAAATAAAAGGAATCTGGTAAATTTAGTGTCAAGAAAGATAAATTAAGTTGAACTAGTAAAATCTGGAGGGGAAGGTGCATGCAGATGCTTGTGTGGCTGCTTATTCCTGTGTTTAAAGTCACTGCCTTAAAAAGACTTTGCATCTTTTTGATACATAACACAGTTAGTTTATACTTATTTTCTTAATTTGTAGCCAGAGAAGCCTTCACCAGTGATCTGCCTGTAAGTGGTGAGTGAGCAAGAGTTTCTGATCCCTGAAGTTGCTTATTTACAACGTAAGAGGGCACCAAACCCCTGCTGATGCAGGGCATAGCCAGCATAATCATGTACAGCTACATGTAAACAGCTGCTAATTTCTGAACATTTAATGCAAGTCAGCAATAATGATGAATTGCCCCAGACTTTCTTTCACTTTTCAAAATAAACTGCTTTGAATATAAGCAGATAATTGTATTAGAGTCACTTTGGCACCTTGTTACTGGATTTATGTCCATCTTTTATTAATGGCCATTATTTTGCCTACTTGAAAAAATCACTAATTTGATGTCCAGAGACTTGTTGGTATGAGAAGTCATTCTTCTCTTCCTTTTGCCATTGATTTCAATGGAATTATTCCTGATCTGTAGCTTTGAAAACATAATAATTTATAACATTGTAACTGTAGCAGTGTAATTATAGCAAAAGGGCAATGCCAGTTTATTTCCCTATAGAGATGATCCTGAGTGAGATTAGAGCTAAGCTTAGTGGGTTTGATTCACTAGCTTCATTGTAGCCCTCCTTTCTCAGCCTTGGTGTAAACCTTGCTGTGTTTTTTTCGTTATTGTTACTAATTTATTCTACATTTGGGAGGTTTGCGTCTGCAAAATTTGTTTTTTGCCAGCAGTTAGTGCCAGCAAATTTGAACACAGATGTATTACATGATGTAAATATTTTAAAATATGTAAGTATTTCAGTATCCATAAAGCATTTCTTTATGTGATCCTGCTTTCATGAAATTTGAAAGTGAGAGTGTTATCAGCCTACCCATGCGAGGTGTTTTGTAACTGCATTAAAGATAAAGTAACGCTTATATAAATGAGACATGCGTAGATCTACTTCATCATAAGATCATGAGTTTTAAGGCTTAGAAAAATAAATATGTTTGTGTAACTGGATTTGCAAAACAGGAGTGGAAGAACCTTGGCCAGCTACCTCAGGAATGAACCCACCAGTTTTATCTGAGCAACTCTGAGCTCTTACAAGCACATTCAGTCTTCAGAAATCTAACTTTTATGATTAAAATCTGTATATTTCAGTTTTTTTCCTCCAAACAGTCAATAAATCGTATCACTATAAAGGGAAGGATTTATTTTCAATCTGGTTTTATTTGGTCTTCATTGTTAAGCAAACCTTCTTTCAGCTAGATGAGGAATTTTTTCTTTTTTTTTTTTTTTTTCCCTCACCCTCCATGGAGTCATTTACATATGATGACTGGAGTCATTTCCTGCTCTGCTCCTTGGATGAACTATGTGGATTGGAAAACTTGCCTTGCAGTGGAAACTTAAGTTATTTCTATTCAAAATGGATCCAAAGGAATTTCTACTGCTTGATAGGCAGCATGGATTTTAGAACCACCAGCACTATTGTGCTACACCAAGGTAATACTGTAATCGGGATGTAATACTACCTCCCTATTATTTGATATTCCTTGAATTTCTTTCTAGCTCTCAGCACCCTACTGTGTCTGACAGTTGTCAAAAGATCTTCACTGATTTCAGTGGTTACAATTTAAAGCAACCTCGAATGAAGAGTAGACCATAAGAAATGTAAAGTGTTCATCTGTGCATTCTGGTGAAGAATTCAGCAAAATATTCATGTCGTAGCACTTTTTGACAGGGTCTTTATCAGAGGATCTGGCTGAAATTGAAGTGTCAACAAAAAGACTTATTTAAAAAAAAAAGTGATAAAGTGCTAGCAGGTGTTTATTTCATTAAGCATTTTCAGAAGATTTATGAAAAACTAACTTTTGCTTAAAGATGCCAAGGTATTGGAATAACAAAAAAATAACAAATATGATTTAAAGAAATAAAAGGGAAATGTGTGAGAATTCTGGACAGGACCAAAGGAACTGACAGCTCTACTTTCCTAGTTGACATAAATGTAATAAAAGAATACATATATCCATAACCACGAAGTGGTGAAGAAAAGTCCATTTTGTTTTTGAAGGGGAAGCCATGCCTTGCAAATTTATTGTGAGCTTTTGGAAGAATCTGAGCGTGTATGTAGGGAAGATCTGCCTGATACAGTTTGCTTGAATTTCTGAAAGGCTTTCAACAGCATCTCTTGCCAAATGTCCATGAATTAACTATTTGAAATCAGAGGGGATAATTATAGATGAATAGTTAAAAGATTAGAAATGAAGTGTATCAAAAAAGCAGTTCTGTGCTGCTCAATATTTTGATAAATATCTGGAAATTGGCTTGGGAAGTCAACAAAATTTACTGATCACACCAACATATTTGGGCTAGCAGAGACAAAAACAAGCTGCAAAGAATTGCAAAATGATGTCATGAAATTGAATGGACATTAAATTGGCAAATTAAATTTATCATTAACTAATATCAAGTACAGTGGATAGAAAGAGACCTAATTTTATGTATGCTATGATAGCTTTGATCTAATTTATTTGCCATTTAGGAAATGATCCTGGTCTCATAAAAGATAATTCTATGGAAAGAAAATCTGACTGGCAGATCTGGCCCCCCTTCCCTCTTCTATACTAGAAGTAGTATAGAGAGGGGATGGAGAGTCTGTTAAGAACCTTTGACTATATCCAGCTATCCGTGTGCTGTATCATCAACATTTCATCACTTAAAGCGTCCTTGTCAACTTCTCCACTTTAGCTGCTGCCCTGAGCTGATTTGGCTTCAAAACTTTTCATGGAAGTGCAACCTGTCAGCGTGCAAGGGTGGGCAGCATGTTAAGGTGGTGTCTACTGTGCAGGACAGAAGGTCAGCTGAAAAGGAGGGTAAGTCTGACCCTAAAACATCAGGATATTTGCAAAGACACTGTTTGAACAAATTATCCAATCACAAAGTCTATTCAGACCCAAAGCTATGATAAACCATCACCCATGGACCGGCATAAATGTGAGGCAGCACAAATGTAGGTGCAGCCCATTCTTCTCAATATCTGGGAACCAACAAGCACATCAAAATGCAAGGCTCCTGCTACCTCCCAAATGTGGCTTCTGTATGTCCCAGTTTCAATATTCATAGAACTGAGTGACTGGTCTTTAAGCCATGTTTATCTCTAGAGTGATGCTCTAAATAAGAAAGAGAGGAAAATATGATTCCATTAGGGGGATATGCCTCAACAAAGTATATATCCTTTAGAAATGCATCTTTAATAAAGGAAAATCCTCAGGGTCAGGGTGAGCAGGGAAGGGTGGTTCTGCCTCATGTATTCCACAATAACTGTGATAAAGCTTGCAACATCTTACTTCATGCCTGGTCTAATTGCAGAGCTTTAAATAATGGTAGCTGTAGAGAATAGTGAGAGATTATCCTGTACCTAAGGGTTGCTATGAAGTCCCTTCAGGGTCTTGCATTAATGGGGCTTTGTGACAGATGATGCTACGAGACAACACTAGGAGAAAGAAAGTTTAAATCATCTATAAAAGAGCTAAGTAGCTGGAAGAATACAAAAAGCTAGAGATATTTTTTTAAGGTTACATCTTTTGAATTAATTTGAAGAAGACGTTCTGTATTGCTTATGGAAATGCATGGCCTGGCAGAGAGCCTGTGATTTTTGTTCTGAAAAATTCCCTTTTCCCTGGTAGAGGATCGAGTTGGGGGAGACACAGATCACAACCAATGTTTATGAAACATCTTTTACTAATTAAGCTGTCATTATTAATAGAACCTAGGTGCTATTATTACTAGCAGATAACTATTCATAGTGCATTCACCTACCCTTTAGCACAATTCATGTGCATGGTTATCCAGTTGGAGCACCATCTGGGAGGCCATCCCAACCAACTCTGTGAATGCAAAGGGCCGTGTGGATGCAACAGCGTCTCTAGGATCAGAAAGTCTCTCATGGGGTCCTGCCATCAACCTGTTGTTGGTGTGGCTGGCAGCCTTCAATGGAAACCACCAGTTTGGAAACCACCAATGGAAAACAATGGATGCCATGAACAGTTTATCTGTTCATGTGGGTCCAAGCTTGTCTCCAGAGCTCACCAGGACATGGTGAACTTCCACAGGTCATCCATGAGCATGCACCTCCCCGCTCCACAGCCATCTGTTTTCAGGTCTGTCCACACACAGAGGTAGCTATGAGCCACATCCATACACAGTCACCAAGAATGTGTTTTCTGACAGACTGCAGATAGAGCTTGCTTGCCACCTGCCCCATGTCCTCTCCTTGAGCTGACCAGAGTGAGGGATGTGGCATGTTACGCTTCATGAAGTTCTAGCTTCACAGCTTTGTGACCTGCCCAGGATTTAGCAATGCAAAGGTCTTCCTCCCTGAGCTTGGGGACCTGGTGGTGCGAGGAAGAGGAGGGAGGACTACAAGTCAGTACAGTCTCAAGGCAGCTGAGTGCCTTATACTAAAAGAGTCTCTCTTCTTAACCAGCCATCCCAAAGAAAGACACAGTGTGTCTGAAAAGGCAGATTCACTTTTAACCTTAGAGAAGCCACATCCAGAACAAACCAGGTTGCCAGCTGGAATTAGGGCAGCCCTCTGCCTCTGCGTCGAGTTTGTCTCCTCTCCGTGCCCTTCTGCCCTTCACTGAACCCAAAAACCCTTTAGTCTTAACGTCCCTGAGCACCATATTTATTTTCCAAATAAGGAAATGACCTTGCTACTATTGTAAAATTCTAACTGGTTTGCAAACTTGAGCACGACAACATTTGTAAGGGAAAATAATATCTTCCATTAGCCCAACTGTGACAGTTGGAAATTGGAGAAAAGCATTTGGCTCTACAA